AAAAGATTTCTCCAACCTGGAGGAAAAGTCCTGCAAGGTGCAAAAACGCCGCCGCCCACCAAACCCGATCCTTGGTCCCGTGCCTGTGAAGCGTCACACTTTCCTCCACTCCAAGCCGCCACTGCTGGGTTGCCGGCGACCATGGCTTTTGTGCTTTTTTCTGTTGAGCGCTCTCCGGAGACCACCTCCATACCTTCGTTCAGAGAATCGTTTGGCAGATTTTGAATGCAGATTTGAAATCAGCGTCAAAAAATACGCCTAGCGGTATGGGTCCCATTTCAAATGGCCACTTCGACTTGGGATCCTTCCCTTGTGAGCAGAGGGAATCGTGTCGCGTGGGGAGCATTTAAAAATATCGAGAGTGTTCTGAAGTATGTAAAGAACATCTGACTCAACGCTCTCCTCTTCGACCCTGCTCTCCTTTCTGATTTGACGTGTGTCTCAGAGACATGAACTTTACAAAAGCAAGATATACATGCTGTCAGCGTCGTTCAACGCGCTTTGGAAAGAGCGTTGTGCGGAGTTCTCTTAAATACGCAATTACAGAAGGGAATCTAGAGTCCCGAGCACTATCAACGAACGAAGATCAAGATGCCGTTGCTTACGCCCAGTCAGATTGGAAATCGGATGGGCCGGACATCTTATTCGTGTCTGGCGTGTAGGACCGAGCGTGCTTTTCGCAGGCTGTTGTTATGGCCCGCCGACGAGCCACACGGAGTAACCTAATTCCGTATGCAGCCATTCTTTGAGGTTAAATTCCATTGCTCGGTTCTGGATGACCTATCAGTTCTGTGACATTTTCATAGAATTTCATCCCAGAGAACGTGCGTCAACCAAAATCCACTGTGACTTTGTTGGGCTCTACAGGAGATAGGGACCTGCTCAACTCATCTCTGATCCTCCACTGCTGTATGATCCAGACCCAGCTATATATCATAAAACTTTCTCTAGACATGAGGGACAATTTTTCTCCTCAAATCTTAATGGATTGGTTAGAGGCAGATAGCATTGTTGTGCTAATCCTTGTAGAACATTTATTTAAAAGTGTTTACGGCAGGCCTTCCCCCCCCCCCCCCCCCCCCCCCCCCCNAAAAAAAAAACAGTTTACAAATAGGAATGAAAGTCCGAAAGAAAGCTATTACAGTAAGCTATTACACGTAGTATAAGTAGTTGACCAGGTGACAATGTTTGGTTTTGCTCCTTTTGATATTTTCCTTACTGAACTTTTGTTTTGTCCTATAAGTATAGTTGGAAGTGAATGATTGTTGGACCACATTTCTCAAGATTCTCTAGAAGGCCGTGAGTCTAGTTGATGATTGAAAAGGTCAAAAAATAAGAAGTATAGTAAGTAATGTAAACACCACTGGCCCCGGAATAAGTTAAGGAATATATTTCTGAGATTAGTTCGCTTTGTGGATTTCTGAAAGTGTATTTAAAGAATTCCCTCGTCGATGAACTTTTGGGCCAACCACACGGACCCGAGAAATAGATTGATTGTTGTTACATTACAAGAGGGTAACACACGATATCGTCCTGATGCAGAGTGGCTGTTTGAACGGTGAATTTGCTTTAGCCAGAGAGTCATTCATTTATCACTCTTATCGAGGTTCCACCGCAACATCGCTTGTAGATTCTATTCTAAAAAGACATTCTGAAAAAGAGGCACCCCGAAATTTCCCCATTTTCGTTGATCTATTCCGTTATTCTTTCCAATTTTCGTTGCCAAACTTATAGTAGCTGGACAGAAGATATTTTGGGTTGTGCATGTCACCAAATGCACCATTAGGTTTTGTCCATAAAGCGATAAGTGGCGATTGTTGGAGGGTAATCATAACGAATTAAATACCGACTTCTATGGAAGAGCAGTGTATGTTTGATTGAAATCGCTTCTAGTGAAGGATATATGAGTAGTATATAAATGAAATCAATCGGTGCTGAGTGTTTCATCACACCAATAGTTATCCTCAAGGGACGATCATGGGGAGAGGGACCAGCGTGAGTACATCCTACGGAAACGGAAATGTGGTGTTTGTAGGATTGTGTGCTTCCCTTCCATGGCTTTCTTGATGAAAAATTATGTTTTTTTTTTTACATTTTCAAGCTGGTTCCCACCACTTCCATGTTTACGATCCTCAAACCTTTCGTATTTCAGGGATTGTCACCAGAGGTTGCAGCCAAAGAAATTCTCCGAGCAGCGTCGGCTCGAGAAATAGAGCTAATCATGGCACCATTGAATAATAAACTTGCTATATTCTTACGCTGGGCGTGGCCAACTTTGCTGTTCTATCTTCTTCACAAAAGAGGTCTAAAGGACGAATTCGCTACAAAGAAACAACATTAGCAAGATTGCAGCGTTGGAATGTTGATTTGGATAGATGTTTATGTCAAGCGATTAAGAGTTTTAGAGTTTTATTAGAAGCAGTTCCGTATTCTGTTGCTTTTTGGCACTGAAATAAACGATTTATATTTTGATTCGTCATCACATACACTGCACATGAAACTAGTTCTAAAATTTCACTATTGTTACTCCATGATCATTTATAGAAGAACTAAAGTATATTTTTCAGGTGTGCAACTACCGTGGCTATGTGAAATTGAATCGAACGAAATTCGAAAAGGATTTGCTGGAACTGAAGCGGGGATTGGAGAAGAACCTTCTTGGAAAGCCCGAAACGATGGTTCCCGATCAAGAAGAGGTCGGTCAATTATTTGATCACTAGCACTTATTATATAATTGTGTGGCGTTGCTGTTGAAAGCTGTTCCGAGTGAGAATCATGTGTAAAGTGCAGCTTTTTCCAGATTGGTAGTTTTCTGCGCTCGAATGGTTGGCTACTGAGTGGATTCTTAGCCGGCTGGCTGCTTGGTTTTGGTATTGCTTGATTAGTAATCGAAGGTTGATTCAGTCTCTTACGTTGGTTAATTCTATGATTTTCTGTTCTTTTAGTAGTTTTAGGAGTATTGGCAGTTTGTGAAGTAATATTTTCTTAGTGAGGTTTGTCGCTATTTTCGGCTATTCGGACCACAACAGGATTATTCATGATTGTGCTTCTTTACGTCATCCTGTTGTTGAGAGCTAGAGGCGCAGTTCACAATGAAAATGGTTCCTGCGATTTTCCCAGGATGAGCCTGTCACCTCCAGGATAGTAGAGGAGACGCTGTCGGGTCGAAAAACGGCTTAGATAGGTTTTGATAAGGACCTCGATACTGGCTCGTCCTATGTACCCATCCAAAGGTAAGCAAGTTCTCACTCAGTCCCTTGTTGAGGCTCTAAAGGTTGTACCATACATACTGGGACGCTCCTGTTGCATGCAGACCCCTTACTGTGGATAGCTGTGCGCAATGGTACACGCATTTGGACAGTTCGTTCAAATACCCACTCCTGCTACTTTTGTCGTCCTTTACCTTTCGTGCAACCACTAATTTCACTCCTTTTTCTTTGAAGCCTTATTTTCCCCTGAAAATGCCGATTTTTGCGTTTTCTTCGCCACTTTTGCACTATTCTAGACATCCCTTTCATTATTAGTTCAAAACCAAAGTTATCGTGAGCTGTGCCTTTAGTCCGAAGCTCTACAAACTCTTCTGATTCATAACACTGATTTACCGAGCTCGATGTGTCCTGTTGTGGTTTTTCGGGGACGGAATGAGTGCACTATAACGTGTTGTCATGTGCGCAAAAAGGGCTATTTGGCTCATATAGAATTTTGGCAAACCTTCGCAAACTCCTGGAATACCATTGCAGTAGCCAGCCGCAGCGGTAATTGACTACCTCTAATTTCCTAATATCAGCTAGTGTACCGAGTATTGTTGGCATGATTGCCACTCTTGTATAGCAGATAGGCCTAAAATGTCATCCGGATGACGTGCAATAGATGCAGTGCTGTTTGAAGGAAAAGCATGATGGAAACTTGACACTGCCCAATAATTTTCAAGTTTTACGGTTGTCCTGTTCGCTCAGTTGCAGAGATCGTTCCGTTTTCGAAAAGCTCGCAATTCTCTTCAGAATTCGAAAACAGTTCTATCTATTCAAGAATAGTAGTCTTCTACCACTGTGTATGTAGAGGAAATTGTGCATTATCTAAACTTTGGTAATCCAGCAATTGTATAAAGCATTTCCGTATTATGCAAAAATCGCCAAAACAGAAACCGTCCTCAGCTTTTATTGCTTTATTTCATTGAATTTGCTGTTTTTAACTAGTGCAGTGGATTGTGAATTAGCAACTGTTTAGTTCATTACAAGCAACTTCTATACAATTGTAACTGTCGGTGAGTCATAATCGCAAAGGGGTTACCTTGATTAAATAAATGTTATCATCTTCAACGTAGCAAACGTGGCCGACGTCCGGTTATTCGAATATCGCTAACTGCTCTTGAATTGCTCGAGTAGTGATCTTGGTTGAATTCGCCATTTTTAGGGGAGGAAAATGGTAATCGATGAAACTAACCGCCTTCTCAACTCTGAGCTTCGTTATCTAGGTGTATTGGTAGTAATTGGATTGTTCCGTGGTAGTAATCGTAGATCTTAATTTCTCCATCTTTCATTTCCTCTTTCATCCTGTCGGCGGGGTTACAGTAATGGGTCAATTAACATCAACTCAGCCAGCGAGAAGCTTGTAGATGGTTTAGAATGAAACTCTCGCCGAATCTATTGAGATGGAGAATACGTTAGTAGAGTTTGTATGTTTTCTTCATTTCCAATGTTTTTTTTTCTGCTGCCAGGAGATTCTACTCTACGGAATTGGGTTAATCGTCTCCTCGAGTAATTCAATTTTCAACTACTTTTTAGCCTTAGAAATGGAATATATGTATAGTAGGTAAAAATCAACACTTGCGATGGCTGTTCTTCGTTTTTTTCATCAAACTACCATATTGGCTCGGCTATGTAAATGAATAAGGTGTCATAGGCGAGTCTACAGCATGGAAATGTTTTGCGAAATGGTGATTTCGACGTCACCGACTCGCATCGCAACCGAAAATCTGCTTAAAGGCACGGTTCACGATAAAAATGGTTTCGGAAATTAGCACGTGGTATGGATTCGTGGCCCCTTCTGATACCATATGTGCCGGAATGAGGTCCAAAGACATTCTGGGTAAGGCACCATAAGGGGCTGGAGAGTGAAGCACGGTCAGCCTCCGCCTCTCGCTAGGCTGACTACGAAATCTTATTGTCCTTCACCACTTTCGCATTGGAGCAACATTGGTGAAAAATCAATATGCTGATCGATCATCTCCTACTGGTAGTAGTATTCGGCTGTATTCCTACTATTCAACTAATATTTTACTCGATTCCGTTCCAATTAATTATTCTCAACCGTCGTCTAAAGGTCGAGAACTGATTCTGCACAATAACACAGCTAAATATCAGCAGTAGAGTAAATAATATTAACAAAGAAGCCAAAATCAGCTGTTTGGGTGTGTTGTGTGCAATTGCAGACACTACGTCGCATTCGTCTACTCGCCCGAAAATTCCCTTAACCGCCGTTTTTTCGCTGTGAAACTCGTCCAACCCCCCTTTTCTATTCTTTTTTGCAGCTTTTTATTTCTTTTTATTCGTCGTGTTCGCGTTCTCTGCTTTACTATTGTACTACTGTAGGCCGTACCTATCATTTTTCGCCAAAAACCGGATACCCCAAAATTAGTGAACTGTGCCTTTAATTAGACGGCTCGCCAAGTGCATGGCACTGAGGCATGCTCGAAAGGAATGCCACGGTCACCAAGGAGCACAACATAGCCTGGTTGGATCGCGTGAAAGAGGTCTCGCGAGGAATCGACCCCTAATACCCCACGTATCATGCCAATATCGCAAAAAAGCAACTATGAAAAGATGCTTCTGGACGGTAGCCAAGGATGGGTCGGGGGCTCGGAGTGCTTCCGATATGCCTAGGAACTGTTGTGGCAAAGGAGGAAGCATCTGATCCTACGGAAAAACACTCTTACGACCCTGTTCTTCCTCGCCGCGGATCTCAAGTTGACGGCATCACGATGCCGCAGAATGATTGAGTGTAATGAAATAAACATCTGATTAAAGAATTTATTTAATAGTCTCCAACTTCTCTCTTGCTTTGACCTCGGCATAGCTGTTATCCTACTTATATAATCGGCTAAGTGTGTCTGTTTGGGTGTTTGTGTGTGTGTGTGTGTGTGTGTGTGTGTGTGTGTGTGTG